TGCTTGCCTGTGAGTTTCCAAAACAGACGTGTTAAGCAATGTAGTAACTCCTCTTAGGAGGGAGCCCAGGGCTGGGGCAGTGGGCTGTGCCACAGGAGCGTGGATCTGCTCCATCCCCTGCCTTGGCCAGGCCTCCAGCAGCTCCCAGGGCAGGGGCTGCTACAGCCTAGGCTGAAAGGGTGGGAGGAACTTTTGGTTTTACCTTGTCAAAGCAGAAACTCAGAAACATCTGTCTCTTAGTGCTGGTATTGCTGACACTCCTGACTGCACGAGCTCGTTTCCTGGCTTTTCAGGGTGAAAGAATGACCATATCAATGCAAGGAAGCTAAACCTTTTAGAAGAAAAGAATAATCTAATGTAGATTGGGACAAGTGTGAGAATCAGGCTCGTGGGATGACTTCACAGCTTGCTCAGTGTTTTATTTGGTACTTTTTAATGCTGTTTTCCTTAATAATAGCAATGCAGCTTGATTAGAGTTTTTGTGCTGACTACAAACCCATCCCAAATTACTGTTTTACATTCCACATCATGCAGGAAGTCTGTAAACTTTCAAAAAGACAAACTGAGGTTAGGTAAAAACAGCCCTTATCAGAGCACTGGAATTAATTGAAATAGTTTCTTAATTAATGAGGCCCAATGCTTTGACAACCCAGGTACTTCTGACAAATTGCTCCTTTTATGCCCTCAGATGGGAACACACCACATCCAGATGTGCTGTGGCAGCTGGGGTGGGAGGTTTGTGGGGCTTTGGTGTCCTTAAATACAAATTCTTTTCCCTCCTTCACCACAGCCCTGCAGTGAGGCTGCACACCCTGGAGATCATCCCCAGCCTGGTTTTGAGCTCTTTCGTGTGTTTTTCCCCGTTCTTTCCCTGCAGTTCACACCTGCATGGGCAGGAGCTGCTCTGCCTCTGAGGGCAGCCCCTGCAGCCCCTCTGGGCCCTGCCTTGCAGCTGGGGCTGGCTCAGGCTGGGCCCAGCTCTGTCCCTCACAGGGGCAAGGGGAAGCTGCCCTGCAGAGCTGCTGCTTTGCAGGAAGCTCCCACCAGGCTGGCCTGAGTGTTGGCTCGGGAGCAGCACTCTTACAGCCTCGTCAGATTTTGGTTCTGCTCACCAGAGCAAGAGCAATTTCCAGCTCACTGATGCAGGGACCTGTGCAGGTTATTTCAGGTTTCAGTGAATCTTGTACATTTTGTTGTAGAAGAGATTTTTTTTTCCCTCTTTCATTTCTAAGTCATAGAGGATTCACATTTTGTCTTGCCCTGCAGGGGTTTCTGGAGAAAGACTGAACTAAAACCCAGAGACAGACTTTCTTAGAAACACAACATCAAAGAAATTGGGGAGAAAAAAATATCTGGGTGATCATTATCTTCTTTTGGATTACTATGGGAAAAACCAAACAGTTTGATCTGGGGGGGATGGATCACCTTTCCCACATGGAGAGAACTGGGATTGCTCAGCCTGGGAGGAGAAGGCTCCAGGCTGACCCAAGTGTGGCCTTGCAGCACCTGAAGGTCCTGCAAGATGGAGAGGAGCTGTTCACAGGAGCAGGCAGTGACAGGAAAGGGGGAATGGCTTCACAGGGAAGGTTTAGAGCAGACTTTGGGAAGGAATTCCTGGCTGGGAGGGTGGGCAGCCCTGGCACAGGTGCCCAGAGCAGCTGGGGCTGCCCCTGCATCCCTGGCAGTGCCCAAGGCCAGGCTGGAGCACCTGGGGCAGTGGGAGGGGTCACTGCCATGGCAGGGGTGGCACTGGGGGGGCTCTGAGGTCCCTCCCAACCCAGGCCTTTCTGTGATTCTCTGATTTCTGCCCATTTCCCCTGGCTTGCTCCTTGGACCTTCTGCATTTGTCTGTGACAGTAAGGGCACAGCACCCTTGAGGTCTCTGCCAGTGCAGCACCAGCACAGAGCACTGTAAATCTGAGCTCTCTCTGAGCAGGGAAGCTCTCCAGGGAACATTTTCTGCCTTAAGGACTGCTGAGAAATACTGATTTCAGAGTGACTTTACATCTGAAAAGCCTCCCCAGCTCCCCTCCTCCTTCTGCAGAATTGGGAGCCACCTGCAGCCAGGGAACAGGGTGGAGGCACCAGGAAATAAGGTCCATGCATTTTGGACATGAATGTACCTGATGAGGAAATCACTTCTAAACTGCTCCATTTACCACACAGATTGTTCCTATTTCAGGAACATTCTGTGGAGAATGCCTGCACATGCCTTCTTTGGGGATGAGGGATGACAGCATCTCTTTTGTAGGAATTATCTGGAGCTTTAAAGCTGTTCCAGTACACAGAACTCTTTTGTTTCTGTAATTGATGCTGTCCAGTCAGGGAAAAGAAATGTGTCTTTGGCTGGCAAAGAAAAAATACTCAAGAGCTGCATCATATTTCCTAGGAACAGTAACACCATAGCAACAGTTGTCTTTCAGTGCATCCCTTACAGGCTCTCAGATTGCTGAGCTCTTCTGCTGGAAACTCAGCACACGTGAGCTTGGCAGGTACTTACACTAAAAACCCACATTCACAACACATCTTTTTGTCTGTATTAATGCTTTCTCATGACCACATGGCACGTTATTTCACTCCTGTAAAAGGAATTTTAATGGGGAGTTTATTGGTAGAGCTGCTTCGGTTTGATAATCTCTGATGGAATACTTCATTTGGGTGGGAAGTTTTATTGTGTGTGTGTGGAAAATAATAGAAAATCCCAAACATATGTGAAAGGACTAGTTTTTATTAAATAAATGTGCTGTAAAAAAGTTTTGGAAAGATACCATTCCTTTTAGTATTTTGTTATAATCAATGATTTTTTTTTAGCTTGGAATTTAGTCAATAGTAAATTGAGATTGAAACAATAACACAGTATTTCAAGCATCATAATTAAAGCTTTTTGATTGAGTAATTTTTTTTTCTTCAGTTTATGAAAATGTCAAGTCTGTCCAAAATCAAGTCAGGAAAAATGTTTGAAAATTCTTCTAGGATGAGAAAGCTTTTTCCTGCCTTGCTCTGTTCTACTTATTATATATTAATACTGCCTGGCTCCCTTTGCTGGGTGTGGCTCTTTTGTCATTCTTTTATGAGAACTTGCATGGAAAGTTAAAACACATGCTGATTAATTGGAGTGGCCAAACCACCCTGTCCTTCTTGCATTGACTCTGTCCAGGTTTAACGCAGATCCTGGGGGAGAGCACCGTGGGGTTACAGTTTAAATGGTCCTAAAAATTGCATTACCTCCACAAGAGATGCCAGCAGGCAGAAGCAGAGGCTGGGAGCAGAGCTTTGCCCTCCTGCTGCTCCCACTGGGTCCATGCTGGGGTTTCCATGCTGGAGTGTCACCCAGCTCCCTCAGCAGGCACTGCTGGCTCCATCCCTTGCACAGAACCAGTGATGGATCTGTCATTTCATGGCTGTGGATGGCTCTGGTGGGTGGGTTCTCTGCTTTGGGTTCTCTGCTTTGGGTTCTCTGCTTTGGGTTCTCTGCTTTGGGTTCTCTGCTTTGCTGGCTCTCCCTGCATGGTGGTGCTTGCACAGGGATGGGAATGACTGGGAGCATCCCTGGGGGCATCGCTGAGGGCATCCCTGGGAGCATCCCTGGGAGCATTGCTGCTGCATCCCTGGGGGCATCCCTGGGGGCATTGCTGCTGCATCCCTGGGAGCATTGCTGCTGCATCCCTGGGAGCATTGCTGCTGCATCCCTGGGAGCATCCCTGGGAGCATTGCTGCTGCATCCCTGGGGGCATTGCTGCTGCATCCCTGGGAGCATCGCTGGGGGCATTGCTGCTGCATCCCTGGGGGCATCCCTGGGGGCATTGCTGCTGCATCCCTGGGAGCATTGCTGCTGCATCCCTGGGAGCATTGCTGCTGCATCCCTGGGAGCATTGCTGCTGCATCCCTGGGAACATTGCTGCTGCATCCCTGGGAGCATTGCTGCTGCATCCCTGGGAGCATTGCTGCAGTATCACTGCCAGCATCGCTGGGCCCTGTGAGCTCCTGAGCTGAGCTGCCCAGGCTGCCCGAGCCCTGCAGCCACAGCAGGAGCCGCTGCTGCTGAGGGCCTGGGCTGTGACACAGGACAGGGACACTGTGGGCAGGGCAGGGCTGGCAGTGCTCAGTGTGACACCAACTCTCAGCTCTGTTCTGGTCCCTGTGTGTGCTCAGTGTGACACCAACTCTCAGCTCTGTTCTGGTCTCAGTGTGACTCCAGCTCTCAGCTCTGCTCTGGTCTCTCAGTGTGACACCAGCTCACAGCCCTGTTCTAGTCTCTCTCAGTGTGACTCCAGCTCACAGCTCTGCTCTGGTCTCTGTGTGACACCAACTCTCAGCTCTGTTCTGGTCTCTGTGTGACACCAGCTCACAGCTCTGCTCTGGTCTCTCAGTGTGACACCAGCTCACAGCTCTGCTCTGGTCTCTCTCAGTGTGACACCAGCTCACAGCTCTGCTCTGGTCTCTGTGTGACTCCAGCTCACAGCTCTGTTCTGGTCTCTCAGTGTAACACCAGCTCACAGCTCTGTTCTGGTCTCTCAGTGTGTGACACCAGCTCTCAGCTCTGTTCTGGTCTCTCTGTGTGTGACTCCAGCTCACAGCCCTGTTCTGGTCTCTCAGTGTGACTCCAGCTCTCAGCTCTGCTCTGGTCTCTCTCAGTGTGACACCAGCTCTCAGCTCTGTTCTGGTCTCTCTGTGTGTGACTCCAGCTCACAGCCCTGTTCTGGTCTCTCAGTGTGACTCCAGCTCTCAGCTCTGCTCTGGTCTCTCTCAGTGTGACTCCAGCTCACAGCCCTGTTCTGGTCTCTCAGTGTGACACCAACTCTCAGCTCTGTTCTGGTCTCAGTGTGACACCAGCTCACAGCTCTGTTCTGGTCTCTCAGTGTGTGACACCAGCTCTGCTCTGGTCTCTGTGTGTGACACCAGCTCACAGCTCTGCTCTGGTCTCTGTGTGTGACACCAGCTCTGCTCTGGGCTCTCAGTGTGACTCCAGCTCACAGCCCTGTTCTCTCTCCCTGCTGCAGCTGACGAGAGAACACCAGGTGGCCCTCTCCTCCATCACTTACATCGGCTGTGCTCTGTCCATCGTCTGCCTGACGATCACCCTGGTCACGTTCGCCGTGCTGTCGTGAGTAATTTTTGCTTCATACCTGCTGAGCAGCCAGCACGCACCAAGGCGAGCAGGATCCCTTCAGCTGCTCAGCATAAAACAAAGGCTATTAATTCTACAACCTTCCTTAATTAGATTCTGCACGTGTATTTGTAACACTTGGTTGGTTATTTCTAAATTACTTTCATTTCCTGAAATGGGATGGTCTTTATATAGCAAGCCATTTTAATCTCGTGAGAGATTTTAATTTTTTTTTTAACTGTCCATGCTTTGCTATAGTTCAGGAACCTTGCAAAGAGCCTTGCAGGAGGCCTTGGTCTGGACTCCAGTACCAGGTGAGCAGGGACTGCAGGCCCACCCTCTCTGCCCCCACATCTCCGGGTTGCTCAGAGTACACTGACAGCACCTCCTGCTTTTCCACTGTCGTGTCTGTGAGGCAGGTGTTCAGAAAGGAGTGCCCAGTAAGGAAGTCTCAGTCAGCACTGGCTGCCTGACTTTATTTTCACACAGCTCGTACACAATTACCTCATGCAGCCCACATCGATGTTCGAGTGTCTCGCTGTTCTCCACCAGGCTGCTTTTCTGTGGTGCTTTAGTGGGGTGAAGGACACTGTAAGCAGTGTGGAATTCACTCCATGGCTCGTGGTTAGAAACCTCTGCACCTCCTGCCCAAAGCAGGGCAGCCCTGTGAGGGCTCTCTCTGCTGGGAAGGTTTCTGCCCCAGGGCACTCAGGACCTTTATTCCTATTTATGTTCCCCTAGTGACAAATGAGTTTGAGGCCCAGCTGGGCTTCGTACAAACATTGCTGGAAAAAAGCTTTCATAAAGGTTTGTGTCTAAATAAGAAACAGAAAACCTGACTAAGGGTGAAGTAACTTGTCCAAGGCTGTGCAGCACTTTGGGAGTACAGCAAGGACTAGGGTTCTTGTCTCCTTTCACACACTAAACCATATTCTTCTCACTTAAGAGTTTGATTCTTGTTTTCTTGTATTTTGGACATGCTGTTTAGAGGCCAGTTTCTAGGGAAAGGACTAGCTGAATCTCAGTAAATTGACTGCAATGCTTGTTTTTTTCCAGACCCCGTATTATTTCCAAGTTTTGAGATTTTTGTTGGTCATACTTGGATTAAGAGCATAATGTGTGGCAAAATCCACTCTAAATAAGTCCAACATCTGCCTGTCTGCCATTGTGCTGTTGGCATGTTTAGGCTAAGGGGAATGATCTGCTCCATTTTAGTCTGAGGGCAGAATTGGATGTTAGGGTGTTTTGAAAGGAAAAAGAAGCAAAAGGAGGAGGTGTTGCTGCAGCAGGGCTGAAAACTCCTCAAGGAGCTGGAGGCAAACAAGACTTGGAAGAGAGCTTGAAGCCAGCTGACTGTCACAGGGTTAAGCACCCCACCTACATACAGCATCCTTCAAACTGCCAATTGAAAATAATTTGATTATCTTTTCACTGGAGAGCAGGGTCTCGTTAAGCAGCTGAAGTGGAATTTTGCAATGTGGTGTTAGATGACTGTGACATAAGTGGAGAAGAATCTGGCAAGTTCTTTGCTTCTCCATGTCCTGGCCAGGGCAGCCCCTTCCTGCTGCCCTGGTGGGTGACACTGCCCAGCCTGTGGAGCTGCTCAGCACAGAGCCACTGGCACCAGGCAGAGCATCCTTGAGCTACGTTTGGGATCTCAGTACTTCTTGTCCCCTCCCTCTTCATTCCCGCTCCATGGAGCGGTGCAGCAGGAGGGTGCATTGGAATAGGAACCTGTTATCACCAGCACTGTTTGTTTTTCAAAGAGAACAGAATTTAAGGCAAGCCTGAGATGTTCAGATCAATGTTTTTGTTTTCTGTTTCTTATTTTGGGATGAGAACAGAAACACGAGGTCAGCAGACTTCCAGGAAAGCCTGTTCTTGTCAGATTTCCAGCTGGTTTTTGAAAAGCCAAGGGAGATACGTTCAAATGATGTTGAAACCACAGTCAGGTTCTTGTCAAGACAGGCACTGCCCATCTGTGTATGGAGCTATCTTTCTCAGAAGTTATACTTGTATAAATCAGAATTGGAACCAATGTCTTTCACCGTTCCCTCCTTCCCCAGAAAGGCAAATACCAACAAAATAAACCCAGGAGCTCTGGCGCAGAGTGGGCACAGGTTTGCTTTCTGTGGGGTGTGAGCTCCTTGTCAGCTCAGCACCCTCCAGGACCAAGCCCTTGCTGGTGTTCTGCCCCTGGCTGTCCCTTTGCCACGTGCAGGGCGCTGTGCTGTGCCGGCATAGAGGGGTGCTCTGCTCAGGCGCTGCCCAGGCTGCTGGCAGCAGAGCTCCCGAGGCCCCAGGGTCAGCCCAGCCGCAGCCAGGGCCAGCTGGGTGCCTGGTGCTGCTGCACGGGAGGCCCTGGGCCGTGCTGAGGTGTTTCTGTGCCCCGCAGGTCCGTCAGCACCATCCGCAACCAGCGCTACCACATCCACGCCAACCTGTCGAGCGCCGTGCTGCTGGCCCAGGCCCTGCTGCTCGCCAGCTTCCAGCTCAGCCCCGCAACCGTGAGTCTCTGGGGTCCTCGGGGCAGCTCCAGGCTCTGCTGGGGCCGCGGGCACAGCCAGGGAAGGTTCTGCAGGGGAGCTCTGGCTTTAACAACACTCCCTAGCCAAAAACGCCATCCTGCTGCAGGGGAAATGCTCAGGCAGGGCACCAGGGCTAAGCCATTAAACTGGCATCCAAAGCAGCCCAGTGAGAGCAAGACAAACAGGCCAAGTTAACTGCATCACATACCAGTACAACCAATTTCTTTCACTGTTAATTTTAAAAATGCAATTTAAAGTAACATGAGATGGAAAGTTCCACCTGAAAAACAGAAGCAAAACCTGATTTTACAATAAGCTTCCAGGGTGCTCTGTGTTTGTGCTGGTAAAAACTCAGCTAACCTTGTGACCAGCTGCTGCTCCACATTATTCAGAAGCAGCCAGTGGTTTCTATTACTGGGGGGTGGTGGTGGTGGTATTTTTTCTCAATAGAAGTAAATATGAGGTTTGCACATTGTTCATTTTGCCAATGCAACAACTACCTACATTTATATTCAGCTCAAATGGGATCCCTTGAATTTCTGCTATGCTTATAAATAACTGTAATGCCTGGTTTGCACAGGCAGTCATTACCTGAGGACCTAAAAGCATTTTGGAAAACTAAGTTCATATTCTTTTGCTGTTTAACATTCGGGTGGGTCCTGAATGAGTCATGCAATGTGCAAGGGAGAAAATGAGAGGGGATGGTTTGGAAGGAAAATGAAATGGAGACATTGGAGAGCAGCAAAAGATGAAACTGAAGACAGTAGAAACCAGGCATGAAAATAATCCTCTTTAAGTAGAGAGCTAAAACCCCGTTGAAAGGACATGGGCTCGAGGGCAATGGAAGGTTCACCAGCATGACAGGGTCAGGTATTCTCACAGGGCTTTCTTTTGCACCCATCCCAAATTGTCAGACAATTCAGCCGAGTCACTTCAGAGGATGTGTGAAAGCCTCTTTAGAGCTGAGCAAGGCCAGCAGGGCCTCAGCCTGTTCTGGTGTGGGGCTCCAGCTGTGTCCAGCTGTGGGCTGGAGCAGCCGCATTCTCCAGGGACCAGCCCCAGAGCCACCCACGTTCATAACCTGCCTTGGGCACACTCAGGTCCTGCTTGCTTAGTCCAGCTTGGGAAGCTCTCACACAGACTCAGGCTGCAGTTTAGTAGGTGCAGATTTCCCCCTAAGCCTGTCCCAAACCTGCTTTGGTGAAATTGGGATGGCAGCACCAGAAGCGAGAGCTGTTTTACACCCCAGGCTTTGGGAAATAAAATGCTTCACAGAATCTGTGGATGTTTTAGCCCTGCCTCCTCTATAAGAGCTGTAATTGTTTGGGATAACTCTGTAAAGATCTGAAAGTTGACAGAGCTGATGCAAATACTGTCTGCTGGGCTTTTATATTTATGCTTTGTCCTCTTGGAATCCGGGGGGTTGTGATTCATCCTTTTATTGGTCTCCTGTCGTTACCCACTCCTGACTAGCTTTGAGAGCAGCCTAAATACCTTTAATTGCAGCAGTAATTGAGCTGCTGAGCAGCGGTTTCCAGAGAGGGAGGCAGTGTTTGCACTAGCAGGGTCAGTCTGTAACCTCTGCAGGGCTGCTGAGTGGGGCTGAGCTGTTCTGGGTGCCCTGCAGGACCCCCTGTGTCCCCTGTCCAAGGCTGGCATCGCCCCTTGCCCTGAGCCTGCCCATCCTCTCCCATCTCTGCCTCTTGGGACATTGCAGTTTTGATTGCAGATATGGCACACAGCATTCCCTGCTATTCTCAGATGCGTTATTTAATGATTTACAATTCATTCTGCAGCAATTTTTCTTTTGTAGAATAACAGTGGATCTTTTTTTCTTTTGTAGAATAATAATGATTTTTAACCATAAAGCTCCATCTTCACAAACAGGACTTTAATCTTTCAAGTACACCTAATTTATTCATTTATTTATAAAAAGCTGGTCATTGACACCTATCATCAATAGTCAACTGATCATGGAAGGCAATTCTTCCCAAAATCAGGATGTCTTTTTGTGTCTTTATATTACTGAGACACAGGAAAATGAAAATTGAAGTATAATGTGTTAGCCAGCACTGGGCTTTTTCCAGCACAACCAGGAAAATCTAATGTCTCTACTATCTGCAGTTCTGGATATTTGTCTCTTTCTCACTCAATACTCCTGCCTGGAATTGCTGGAAACATCCAAAAGGAGAGGTGAAACAAGCTGCCTTTGTTTGTGATATAGCTGTAAAATTACCTATCTGCTTTAAGACTGTCCTCAGGACAAAAATGACAAAGATTGTCTGGCCCTTCTGAAAGCCTGCTTTACCTTCTCATCAGAAAGAGCAGGACAGACCTTGCTGCTGGCTGGGCTGCTTTCTCTATTTCCACAGACCCTCCAGCTGTCAACCCTAAGAGTAGCAGGAAAATACCTGCCTTTTTACAGGTATTCTGCCAAAAGTGGGTGTTTCACAGGGTGCAGCAAGGGAGACCTGCTTGGATTTAGTGTGTGAGGACTCAGCTTCTCAGTGCTTTTACAGAAGGCAATTTTGCCATGTAAGAGTAACTGCTGAGCAATAATTAGGGCAGAAACCCCAACCAGAATGAGCAGCAACTTTGCTATGGATTTTATGTACAAATCTGCAACTAGGTATTATACAAAATTCTATGCAGACCAGCCTCCTGCTACTTCCCTGTGTGCCATTTTTCTGCTGCTTTGTGATTCATATTGTTTGGCTACTCTAAAGCTGGAAAATATCCATTTGACAGAACTAGCCTGTACGTCAGCTTTATGTTGCATTTAGATTTTTGTGGACCAATCTTCTGGTAGAAATCAAAAGGCATTAAAGTGGATTTTATAGCCTTATGATAAAATTAACTGGAAAGGCTCTTACAGCTTTTGTCAATAAGCTAATCTGGTTTAATAATATGTCACTGAACTTTGTGAAATACTAAACCACATACAGACCTCACTTACACAAATTAACCCCAAATTTATTGCTTTTGAACACAGGTAGTCCCATTGGATTTGCATTAGAATGTCCTTGCACTGGTCCAAGTGAGCCTGGGCAGGAAAGCCTCCATTTTCATTGCTCTACCAAGTCCCAACATTTTAATTTTCACTGGAGTACAAAATCCCAAATCATCAGCATAAAGAATAAAAGCCAGCCCAGCCCAGCACAGCTCAGCTCACACCGCAGAGGGAACGAACCATTAACATCTGAGGCAGCAAACTGGTTCCTACTGGTGCAGCTCCCCCAGCACAGCCTGGAGCCTCCTGGGGCTGAGGGAGGCAAAAGCCTTCCCTGCCCTGGGCTGGGGACAAGCAGCCACTGGGGAGGGCACAGGGGATGGCACAGGGCAGGGGGCACAGGGCAGGGGGCACAGGGCAGGGCACAGGGGGATGGCACAGGGCAGGGGGCACAGGGGGATGGCACAGGGCAGGGGGCACAGGGGGATGGCACAGGGGGATGGCACAGGGGGATGGCACAGGGCAGGGGGCACAGAGGAATGGCACAGGGCAGGGCACAGGGGGATGGCACAGGGCAGGGGGCACAGGGCAGGGAACAGGGCAGGGTACAGGGGGATGGCACAGAGCAGGGCACAGGAGGAGGGCACAGCGGGATGGCACAGAGCAGGGCACAGGGCAGGGGGCACAGAGGGATGGCACAGGGGGATGGCACAGCTGCAGGGCACAGTGTCCATCCCAGCAGCCTGGCACACACAGGGCAGGGCTGGGGAGCTGAGCTGGGGCAGAGCAAACCAGGTCCTCTCATGGGGCATCACCCTGGGGACATCACCATGGGGGCATCATGGTGGGGACATCCTGCAGTCACATCTGCTCTGTCCCTGAGTGATGGGCACAGACACTCTGCTGAGAGCTCCTTGAGAGAGTGAGTGAGGAAGGGGAAGGGAAAAGGAGTGAGTGAGGAAGGGGAAGGGAAAAGCAGAGAGTGAGGAAGGGGAAGGGAAAAGCAGAGAGTGAGGAAGGGAATAGGAGTGAGTGAGGAAGGGGAAGGGAAAAGGAGTGAGTGAGGAAGGGGAAGGGAAAAGGAGTGAGTGAGGAAGGGAAGGGAAAAGCAGAGAGTGAGGAAGGGAAAAGCAGAGAATGAGGAAAGGGAAAAGCAGAGAGTGAGGAAGGGGAAGGGAAAAGCAGAGAGTGAGGAAGGGGAAGGGAAAAGCAGAGAGTGAGGAAAGGGAAGGGAAAAGCAGAGAGTGAGGAAGGGGAAGGGAAAAGCAGAGAGTGAGGAAAGGCCAGTGGGGAGCCCCTGAGGCTGGGAAGAAGAAAGGATTCCATTCTCCTGTTTTTAAGGCTGATCAGACAGGGGCTTAGAGAAAAATGAAGATGTCTGAGAGGAGCACCTGAAGGAGAAGCGGGGAGCAGGGAACAGGACAACACTTGTACCCTGCTTCTCTGGCTCCTGTATTTACTGCAGGCTCACAGCCAGATGCAGACACTCGGTTTTGATTCCCTAAATATTTTGTGGACTTTATTGGGAGTGTTGCTCCTACTGTTATAAATAAATAACACATTTGGATTTCCACACCACATTTGGCAATGTTGTTAGGGGGTTTTTTATTATTTTTTTAAAGGTGAAAGGATTTGTTACTCTGAAGCTATCTGAAAATGCAGTAGAAAAATGAAATTGTCTATTGCTTTCTAAGACAGTTTTACTCCAGTGATTTAGCATTTAGCCTGTAAATGTCTATAGAAGTTAAAAAAAAAAAAGAAAACTGATGTGACTGTATCACAAAGAACTAATGTATTCATCTTTACTCCTAATTTAGCTGCCTTGCAAGATCTTGGCCATTCTCCTTCATTTTTTCTTCCTGAGTGCGTTTGCATGGATGCTGGTGGAAGGATTTCATCTTTACAGCATGGTGATCAAAGTATTTGGGTCAGAAGAAAGCAAGCACTTATATTATTATGGAATTGGATGGGGTAAGCATTTAGTAGCTGCTTACTTTAAGTCTCCTCACTATAGGACAAGATTATATTCAGAAGCATATTTGAAATTGTCATCTTATGATCACAGTTTGCCTTACTGAGAGCAGGTCTGTTGGATGAGAAAATGCTAATTCTGACTGCAATCACTTCAAAAGGTGCAGTCCTTGAGCCAGCTCCAGTGCAGGGAATGCCACAACCTCTGCAACCAGACCCTGATTGTCCCATCGGTGGCAGCACCGAGGGAGGGAGGCCTCACCTCCCTGCTGTGCTCTTTCTGTGGTTCTGACTCACACCAGTGCTTATTCCATCTGCAGCCTGCAGAGTCAGGTGTGAAAAACAGGCACAGGAGTGTCAGGAGACCTCATGGGTTGGTGCTTTGCTGTAGCAAAGATTTCTAGGCCCTCCATTTGCAGGTGACAGAGTCTGTGGTGCTGGATGTTCTCCCACTTCAGCCACTTTCCTCTCCTGCAGAAACTGCCACAGAGTGAAGGCTTTGTTCTGAGCTGTCAAATGACATCAATTCCATAATTTCCTGGTTTTTGTTGCCCAGATCTGATGTAACACAGCAGAAGAAAATCATAGAAAATGAACTTCCCAATATAAATTGGGAGAATATACTCATCCCCATCAAGCAAATAGATCTTTTCATCATTGGAAGGAAATACACTTTCTGTTGTGTCTAATGCTTCCTCTTTCTCAATAAATGGCATACTTAGCCTTTTAGAATGGATGTCCTAAAATTGGTTTGAATTATATACCACAGAGTTTCTACAGCCTGGTTTTTTGTATTGTTTGGGGTTTTTTCTTGTATAGAAGAAACAGAAGCTTTCAAAATACAATGCTTCTTAACTACTGAGGATACCCCATATTTATAAACATAGCTTCATATAAATATATAAATACTCATAAATGTCCTTCTAGCTGCAGTTATTAAAGAATGAAAATACTTCTTCCAAAAATTATACCTCTGACAGTACTGGAAAACTTTACACAATTTGTGAGGATGATAGTGGTAAAATTAAGCAGAAATTGCCTGTCAGAGAATTTGTAAAACCCTCATGCAGAAAACCTAAAGAATTAAAAAGAAAATTGATACTTTAAGCTGTCATGTCTAATACTCTGTCTGGGACCTGTTTATTAAATTCTGTAAGATGATCAAAGCTCAAACTTTCACATTTTATTAAATCATACAGGAATTAGCAAGCAATCATTTAATATTTGAAGGGATGGGTTTCACTGCATTCAGAACTGCTGGCAATAAACCCCTTGCCTCCTCTCCAGTTCCTGGCCTGGAATGAAGTGGCACAACAGGACCTGGCAGTGGTTAAAGTGGTTTAAATAAGGCTGATTCTCCTTCACTGCTTGGAGAGCAAGAGCAGCAAGTCCATAAAGCAAAGCCAGGCTTAAACAGGCCTGTGGTTCCCAGGGGCATTAGCACTGATCCAGTTTAACAGTTAAACTGGTACTGTATTAAAAAGTCATTTTGTCTGACATCAGATAATTAATGTTGGATTAAACAGCTGCAGGGGGATCTCAAGTTAGACTGAATTTGAAAGTGGCTCTGAGCGGTTCATACAAAATTTAGCAGAACCTGCAGGGCTCACTGGAAGATGTACTTTCATTGCTGATAATGCCTCTGGATCTGCCTTTCCCTGCCCTGCTGCAGGCTGCCCACTGGTGATCTGTGTCATTTCTGCCACCTCGTCCCTGGACAGCTATGGAGAAAGTGGCAAGTGAGTATGAAAAGCCCTCGCTGCAGGTGCCATGGGGGTGAAAGCCTGGTGGGGAGGAAACCTGTAAATGTGTTAACTGGGCTGTGGTGCTGCAGGATCCCCCTGAGGAGCAGCAGAGAGAGGCTGCAAGAGATGAGTTGTGTAGAGATGTTGTTAAACACAGGAGCCTCATGTCTGGTTTTCACAGAGATGATGCACAAAAAGCTCCTGAGATCTTCTCCTGCTTTTCACTGAAGAGCTCCTCAGTGAGCTCCCTGCTCAGGGGGAAAAGCTTGCACCAAGATGAGAGTAATCATTGATTAAAGATATTCAGCCTTCCAAAGAAAACCGCAGTTACACACCTGAAATCTGGAATGGATAATGTCCAAAACGTTGAAAATTAATTTCCTTTCTAATTTAGGAAAAGAAGAGTAAAATTATCTGAAAGAGCACCATAGGAGTTAATCCTAAAATAATTTTACAGGTGGCAAAGTGGTTCATCTCTTCAGAGCTGCAGGAAGGGCCTGACTGTGTTTGCCAGCCCCTTCCCCAGCACCAGCCAGGGGAGGGCTGCAATTTGTCTCTGGCTGCAATGGGAGAAATTCACTGCAGTGAGACATTTCAGAGTGCTCCAGCCCTGAAACAGCCTGTGGCCGAGGACACCAGAGCAGCAAATTGCAAATAAAACATTTCCTCTCTTGGCAGCTTTGCGCTGCTGTGAGGCTGGGCTGGGGCAGAGGGGTGGCACTGGCTGTGTGACAGACCCAGGTGAGATCCCACCTTGGGCCCCCATGTCAGGGGGAAGGAGCCTTGTCCTCATGGGCTACCATTCCCTTGCTTTCAAAATTCATCCCCTTCTTGCACTCTCTTTGGTTGTTTTATAAGCTGGGGTTTTTTTTAGTTGATAACATTACTGATTAAATGCCTGTGTGTTTCCTCTGGAACATCTCTGATCTCCCTGCAGCTGCTGGCTCTCCCTGGAGGACGGAGCAATCTGGGCTTTTGTGGCACCAGCCATGTTTGTCATTCTGGTAGGTACAAGCACAGCTTGCAGGGCTCGGGCAGGGCAGCTGGGCTGGGCAGGGCTGTGAGGGGGGTTTGGGTTCAGCTAAGGCTGCCCGGGGGGGTTTGGGCTCAGCTAAGGCTGCCCAGGTGAGTTTGGGCTCAGCTAAGGCTGCCCAGGTGGGTTTGGGCTCAGCTAAGGCTGCCCAGGTGAGTTTGCAGGGCTCAGGCAGGGCAGGTTGGCTGGGCAGGGCTGTGAGGGGGGTTTGCTGGTTCAGGTAAGGCTGCCCAGGTGAGTTTCTGGGTCCAGCTCTGATGAGCTGCCCCTTCCCAGGGGTGCAGGCTCACAGCTGCAGTGTTTTGGCACACAAACACTCCACGGCAGGTGGGGAATGGTGCTCACGTGTTCAATTGCAGGGAGTTGTAGCTGTGCTCGTTCCAGGGGTCAGGAGTGTTTGCAGAGAACCTGTGCCAGGTCAGCACCTCAGTTTGCATTCCAAGGTGTGTAGATACAGATGATTGGAGAGCAATTAAAATAATCTAATATTCAAGAGTCCCCTCCTCACTTTAGCATTGCTTTCTGGCCATTGCTCAGCACCAAAGGAGGGAGTGGATGCTGTCAGTGACACCAAACCTTCCCAGGCTGCTGCCCAAGGGTGGTGGTCACCCAAACACACCAGGCAGTGAGATGCTCATCACCTGAGCCAGCACAGCCTCTTGCAATCTGCATGTGCAGCTGCTTGGCAGGGAAAGCAAGAGGTTAACTGGCTCTGATTTAGGATATCTAACATTTGTGCAGCTCAAATGATGTTCTTGTAGGGATGCAAATACTTTCAGAAAGAGAAAGAGTGAGCTCACAAGGTTGATCCACGTAGAGCAATTTGTTAGATAGTCTAAACCCAGCTCTGCCCAAAATAGCAGCAAGAGAGCTGACAAATTACCTCTCTGGGCATTGGAAATTCCAGCTGAAAAATGTGTTGGTGCCTATAGGGAAATAGCAGGGCTAAACACTATCTGGTGTGTGTGCATGTGTGCCTGTGTTCTTTAAATAACAAATTAGCCACCAGCTGCATAAACTAGCATTTAAGTCTGAAAATACTTCTCAAAAAGCAGTTTTTGACTAGTTCAATCAGCAGTGTCTCTGCCAAGAAAGAGGATTATGCTGTGAGGAAAACAGGGGAGTGCTCCTTTCAGCTCCCACTCTCCAGGGACCAGGCAGACACAGTCCATCCACATTTATCCTGCCCAGCCTCACGGAGCCCAGAGCAGAAGGATGTGGAGGGGCTGTGACTGGGGAGGAACACTCACACACTCTTGTCTAGGCAGTAATTCACAGAACCTCCCAGCCCTACACAGATTCCTTCACCAAATACGCTCTTTCCTTGGGGTTTGAGTCAAGGGCTATGATGAAGGAAATAGCTCCTTCTATGTGTAGGTCTTTTGGCTTCTCCATACATCTTAGGGATTTGAGATCCCTGTCCCCCACGTCCCAAACCACAGCACACAAGCCTCTGCATCATCCTCTTAAAGCAGTTTTACTAAAAGCCCTTGCAGTTCATTTGCAAACCAAACTGAGCTCAGCCCAAGAGGCCTGGGACGTGTCTTCAGTCAAGGGGGGGAAATCCCGACTTGACAAAGTACCTGAATTTTTGACAGAAGACATCAAAACTTGTGGCAGAAGGTTTGTTTGTCATCAGCCACCTGCTGCCTTGGTGTGCTTCCCTGGATGGGGTGGAATTCAGGGAGTTCTGTGTGCCTGGAGCAGACCCTGGGCTGCAGGGCCAGGGCCTCTCTGTTCTGTCCCTGCTTTTTGTATTTTCCTGGTGCTGCAGTGCGAGTGAGAGTTGGCAATGCTGAGTACACCACAGAAATGGCTTTCTCAAATGTGCTCATTACCACCTCAAAGGATTTACACAGGTTATTTACAAAATATGATTTGGTAGCAATAGGGAAAATGATCCCAAGAGCATTGAATTTCACCTCTTCTCTCTTAAAGCCAATTGAGCAGCAGGCACACTTGAGGAGCTGGCAGTTCCACAGGATGGCCCCTGGATAAACTCAAGAGCCATGGCAAAAATGAACTATTGCAGATATGCTCTGATTCTACAGCACGGGATGATCCGCCCTTAGAAATCGAAAATAAAAAAGGGGTCAGAAGATTTGGAAAAAAACCCAAGAAAATCATTATAATCAAATTAAAACATGTTTAATTCACCCTCTCGTCCTCAGAGTTAGACTATTTATGTCAAAGTAGAGGATGATTATTGAGTTTTAGCTGAGGAACAGCACTTCTTTTGAAGTCTTCTCTTTCTTTTTGTTCTGTAGTTCAGGATAGTTTTTGATCTACCCTTGTTCTTGATGCTTTGTAGCTCATGTGTGACTTTGGACAGGAAGGGGGAAATATGCCTTTCACCTTCACATTGTCTACCCTTTTTTTTCTTTAAACCCAAGGTCTTTGCACAGCAACACAGTCTTTGCCACATTTCCTTTAAGAGATAAAGATTTCCTTCTTCCTTCACCTGTGACTCCAGCACAAACTTTCCTTTGTTGAACATTTTCAGTGTTAGTCTTTTCAAGATTTCCTGCTTTTCTCTTGGGAATTCTTTTCATTTTATTGATATTTCTGCTGGACCTGACATCAAAAAGAGCAGAGCCTTTGAAGAGCAGAGCTCAGATTTACCATATTTTTCTCATTGCTCCTTTAAAATGGTCTTGTACCCAAGATTGACTGATCTACAGTCAGGGTATTGATTTACAGTCAGGGTATTGATTTACAGTCAGGGTATTTATTGATTTACAGTCAGGGTATTTATTGATTTACAATCAGGATATTGATTTACAGTCAAGGTATTGATTGACAGAGTATTGATTTACAGTCAGGGTATTTATTGATTTACAGTCAGGGCACTGATTTACAGTCAGGGTATTTATTGATTTACAGTCAGGGTATTTATTGATTGACAGTCAGGGTATTGATTTACAGTCAGGGTATTGATTGACAGTCTGAGTATTGATTTACAGTCAGGGTATTTATTCATTTACACTCGGTATTGAATTACACTCAGGGTATTGAATTACACTCAGGGTATTGATCTACACTCAGGGTATTGGTTTACAATCAGGGTATTGGTTTACAATCAGGGTATTGGTTTACACTCAGGGTATTGATCTACACTCAGGGTATTGATTTACACTCAGGGTATTGATCTACACTCAGGGTATTGGTTTACACTCAGGGTATTGATCTACACTCAGGGTATTGATCTACACTCAGGGTATTGGTTTACACTCAGGGTATTGATCTACACTCAGGGTATTGGTTTACACTCAGGGTATTGGTTTACACTCAGGGTACTGATCTACACTCAGGGTACTGATCTACACTCAGGGTATTGATCTACACTCAGGGTACTGATCTACACTCAGGGTATTGGTTTACACTCAGGGTACTGATCTACACTCAGGGTATTGATCTACACTCAGGGTATTGATCTACAATCAGGGTACTGATCTACACTCAGGGTACTGATCTACACTCAGGGTACTGCTTTGTGTGGGGATCCTGAGCACCTTGCCTGTGGGCAGTGCACCCATCCAGGTTTCCTGATCAGGCAGGGGCGCTGCTGAGGGAAGGGGAAAGGCTGTGGGGGCGGGAATCACTGACACCAGCCCGGCCCTGGGAGCCTCTCCTGGCCAACAAAGCCAGCACAGGAGGCTCCTGTTTGCTGCTGGGCTGGTACCACACCCTCCCCTGGGACTCCTGACCAAGGCTGTTCCTCCTCCTCCAGGTCAACATTGGCATCCTCATTGCTGTCACAAGAGTCATCTCCAGGATCAGTGCAGACAACTACAAGGTCCATGGAGATGCTAATGCCTTCAAGTAAGTTTTTCTCATTGAAATTATAACACCAGTCCCCCAGAAGCAGTGTTACACCATGGGCTGCTCCCAGAGCACTGACACCACCCCTCCTCAGAGAGCCAGCACTGGTGCTGGTGTGCTGCCCTTGAATGCAGCCAGTTAACCTGTGTTTATTAAAGCTGCACGGGTGAAACCTGTGGCTCAGAGGAGCTGAAGGGTTCCCCTGCCTATTGCAGGTTCCAGCATTTGCTGATTCATTATTTTCCCTTTTGTAAATGGAGACTTTCCTCTTCCTGCTATGGTCAAAAGCTGAATTTCCCAGAGCATCATCAATCTCTACTGGGTTATTGCAATTCTTCTGCTTCTTCTGAGCACAGACCTTGTTTCTAGCCCCAGTTCAGTATAATATTTAGGCATATGCTTATCTTTAAGATTCTCTTGACATTACAAAGCACACAGGCTTACACTGGATTCAAATGTGTGCCTAAATTCAAGCAGATCTTTATATCACAGTGCCTGGAGCCTCTTGGGGTGGTGGCCTCTGGGAGTGAGTCATCTTTGAAACAGCACCAGCGAGTCTGGAGGGGAAATGTAAGGCACACACAGAGATTCCTCTGAATGTACAAGGACAAATTCTGGTCTCTGAAATATATATAGAGATAACACGTGTGTAGCTAAGAAGATAATTTATTATATCAGGGCTAAATTAAGATGTTGACTATTCTATTTTGTGTCTCCTAAAGAAGCTTTAGTCCAAATAAAGAAATGACACTGTATGTAAATAAAAGAATATGGAACTTAGATAGAGGAAAAATGTGATGATGGTTTGTGTTTAATGTTTCTGAGGCACAGGTTATTGTATGATAAGGATTTGGTGCCACTGTTCTGAAATGGTATCATAAAAAACAATTTTTATGCTTGGATTACTTCTGTAATTTTGATATTGTCATTAGGTTTTAAATGTTGGTGACAGTTACCTAATTGAAGTTAGTTTACTTATTGCACACTTATCCAACAGGAAAAGAAAAACAGTAAATAAGTCTACACAAAAATCAATAAGATAATTACACTGTAGTGAAATGAGAAGCCTGGGAATTAAAATGACTGTTTCAGGTTTGGCTGAGCTCCTGTGACCTTCAGAAATATGAAGGAAATATAGAAACTTAGGAAGCAAATGACTGTATATTGTCAATGCCCATTTCTATGCCCTGTTAGAAATATGAAGACAAAGACACATCTCCATAAGTACAAGAGAGCTCCAGAGGTTGCTCCATGTATTTGGATATTTTACTGTATTTCAAGAAGTGGATTCAATACACACTGTAGCCTGCACACTAACACACATTATTTTTTTAAACTGTGTGTGTGCACATAAGTAAATTGATTTATGAATGATTGGTCGAGGAGCATTAATGAGGAGCATATGTTCTTAGCCCAAACATTATCAGCTGTAGATTTGGAATGGGGTAACTCTGTACTAAAAGTGAGACTCCTCCAGGTTCCCTGGCTGAGAGATGCTCTTTGTGCCAAGTCATTTTCACATTACAGGTTCAGGATTTGACCTAACAGAAGTTACAGGGAGAAAAGTGGAGAAAAATTATTACCAGAGGGTTGATGCATCTGAAAACTTGAACCATTAAGTTATTAAGTGGAAATATGCTCTTACAGAACAGCTTTCCTCACAGAAATAAATTAAGTCAACAAAATACAATAGCAGGTAAATAGAACTTAGAGAATAGTTCTTCTGTACATATAATTAGAGAAGTGGGTCCTCAAAGAAAGTTTGAAAAGAGAAGTGCATAAATACATGTTCAAATCAGATCCTGATTTAACATAGCAGTGAGGCATGATGAAGTAGAGTTTTATGTTCAGAGGATGTCATGGGGAAAATAACTGGTCTGTTGGAAAAAAAGATAATTATAAAGCCTTTATAGCACAGAGTTTACATGCTAGTATGAAATCCTTGTGTGTATTTTCCAAGAAACAAGCAGAGCAGGGCTCTGATGTGGCAGGTGCAGGGGAAGTTTCCTCATGGTGTGCAATCCCCGTGGCTCCAGCATCACAGCTCCTGGGAGCTATTGCAGGCTGTTAACCCAGGAGGGTGGATGTGCACAGCAGAACAACTCAGACACACACAGAGACCAGAGAAGCAGACAGGTTGGTGGTTTCTGTGGGGAAGGACTGCAGGGTAGTTTTTGGATCAGCAAGTCGAGCAGGCTGAGGGAGGGATCCCCGAAGGCTGCAGATTGCTTTGTGTACCCAAATCAAGGGGGTGCCAGGCATCCCGGGGGGCTGCACCCCATGGACATGGCTGGGCTGTGGCAGGAGCAGTTTATCAAGCCTGCTCACTAAGGCAGAGCTGGTGAAGGTGGGATCTGGTGAGGCGGGAAGGCTTTGGCACCCGTTCTCAGCAGCCAGGGGGGACATGAGGAGCTCCTTCAGAGCTGGGCTTGTGCTTTCAGACTGCCAGGGGCAGAAAATGGGAGCTGCAGGGCAAGGAGCTGGGGAGGGGAACCTGCTCAGCCCAGCAAACCTGGGGCAGAAAAGAAGAGGAACTTCAGTGCTGTCTTTTCCAGCTGGGGTGAGATGTACATAGGCAGACAGTGAGCTGCTGTGCCAGCAGGGACAGCAGGTGGGGCAGCAGGGACAGCAGGTTGGACAGACAGCAGGGACAGCAGGACAGACAGCAGGACAGACAGCTTCCCAGCAGGGACAGCAGGACAGACAGCAGGACAGACAGCTTCCCAGCAGGACAGACAGCAGGACAGACAGCTGGGACAGACAGCTGGGACAGCAGGTTGGACAGCAGGACAGACAGACAGCTTCCCAGCAGGACAGACAGCTTCCCAGCAGGACAGACAGACAGCTTCCCAGCAGGACAGACAGCTTCCCAGCAGGACAGACAGACAGCTTCCCAGCAGGGTCACCCCTACAGTGACCATGAGCTGGGGCCTGGCAGCACTGCCCGAAGGGGCTGTGGCAGGGGCTCCAGGAGGTGCCAGTGCCACCTCTGTCCCTGGTGGCTCAGGCCAGCACACGCCTCAGTCTGTGAGCACCTGGCTGAGTGGCCTCACACTTGTGGACGTGCCCAAGCCCAAACCCAAACCCAAGCAGAAATCCCAGCCTGCAGGTGTCACAGCACAGGCCCTCCTCAGGCTCGCCTCTGGCCAGGCCCTGCTGCCAAAGGAAAACTTTAATGCCACTGGCAAGGACTAAACTGCACTGCTGCTGGCAGAGCAGCTGCCCTGGCTCTGTGTCCCCTGAACTCCTGGGCTCAGCTGACACCACGGCCTGGGCTCCTGGTCCTGGCTGCTGGCTCCTGCTGCAGCAGCTGGCCTCAGCTGAATGCTCCTCTCACTTGCCCTAAAAGCTCTGATTTCTCCCCAGGGGCAGAGGGAAGCCCAGGCTGTGCTCAGGCACCATCTCTGCACGTCTCAATCCAGGTGTGGTGGCTCAGCCCTCGCCTGAGCAGAGATCACCTCAGGAAATCCTGACAACAGAGACACATTTTGGGTGTGATGGGATCAGTTAGAAAGGGAGTTTATTGCTGGAGAAGTGCTGCTGCTGGAGCATGTTTACTTTCTGAAAAATTAAGTTACTTGGCAATGCAAGTGATATTACCAACAAGGCTTGTTTCTCTTGGCAACAAGCAGCAATAAACTGATGTAATTATTTAGAGTAATTGTTCCTGATTTTCCATGTGGCAGCAGGTCCTCTCAAATGCTGACTCAAACGTGACTGCAGAATGTGCACCAGGGTGAGCCAGTGCTCTGCTTGGAAGGCAGCAGCTGGCAAACCTCAGGTTTAAAAGCCAAAACAGAAAAGAAAGTTGCGAACAAAATTCCTTTTAGTGTCCAAAAATGAATTTATTATTCATGTTCCCCGTTCCCATTTCCCCCAGAACAAAGTGCAGCTCCTGGCTTGTTGGTCTCTTCAGGTTCAGATGCTGCTTGTCACAGAGGAGACATCAGAGACCATCCTGCTGAACATCCTGCTCTGCTCTCACTGCCACTGCTGTGCTCCTTTGTTTGTTTAAAGTAAATAAAAACAGGGCCCCTAAAAGGAATTTAAGATGCAACATAAAAGACTAAGCTTTAATGATACATAAACTGCAAAATACCAAGTAATTTAAGGCAAAATGAATACAATTAAACACTTTATGGTCAGAGACACTAATTAAACCATGATAGACTCCTGTGACAGTCTGAATAGTAAGTATTTGGTCACTGTAGTAATTTTCCTATGTGTGTGAAAATAGCTACTTTTTTAGTGTCTGAAACTTTAATTCTGCAGGACCAGTTTACTGGAAAGAGCTGAGCAAAGAATTATTATAATCTCCTTTTATTACTTGAATTTACTTAAGATCATGTTTTTGTGTTGTTTTTGAAGCATATTGAACACATGTGGAATATGAACTTTTCCTTTAGTTGTCATTATTATTATTCTTGGACCTTTTATCAGAGGATTAGCTATTGATTCTCAGCAAAATAATTTTGAGCAATAATCCAGTTGTGGCTTAATGAGAATGTCTTGCATCCAGGGAACAGATTTTCTGCCAAAAAGCTGATTTGTTTTAGTTTATAGAATGCTGAATCTAATACCTTGAAATATTTAAATGCATACATACAGCATTAGTTTGAATTATCCATTCTTTTTTTAGGGACATAACTAATCATATGTTTGAGTTTAAGCAGTAGCCTCTCTAAGCTTAATGCAATTAAAGCAGATTATTTTAATGGAATTGCTCATGTGCTTGAAAAGGCACATGATTACATTTCTGAGTTATGAACCATTGGAACTCTTTTTCTGCTGCATCCAAAGACTTCACTCAGCTCATTCATTGACGTATAAGGGCCTAAATAAGTTTTTGGTTTTGCTTACTGCCCACCCCTTTCAAGGTCTCATTGCTTTCTGCATGGCAGGTGCCTCTTGTGTTACAGAGAGAGGGATCCCCCGTGGGACAGTGTTGGACAAGGGCACATTTCCTTCCCCATGGGGACAGCTCTTGCCCGATCATTTGG